TGATTTGTTTAATACTTGTTTTATTTTATTTGAATTAATTGTTTATTTGTTGATTTAATTGAGTTAATGGATTAATTGGTTAATTATTTTATTTAACTGATTACTTGGTTTATTTGTTGTATTTACATTTATGCTTAGGTGGACTTAGTTTAAATATGAATTAAATGTATAATGTTAAATTAGGGTTTTTATTCTTTAATGAAATCACGTGTTCGCCGACTAGTATTTAGTAGGGTTTTCCGTCTCTGATTATAATTGGACTTAGGGTTTTATAGAGGCCTATAAATACACTGATATAAGTTTGCTAAGGGTTTTAGAACCCTAATCACGTAACAGTGAGGTGACGAGTTATATAGAGAGGTTTGAGAGGAAAACAGAGAGGGCGAATTGGAGTTTCGGTTGTAGATTAAAAGATGGACCAAGAAGGAAGGAAGGTATTGCTTGTGGTTTTAAACCAGAACAGTAGGAGGTTGACAGTAAACGGACGTCGTCTGAAAAACTTAGGAAGACGAAGTTAAGGTTTCAATACTGAAATCTTCAAGGCAAGTTTTATTCTTACTCTCTCCCCTTGACCTGTGTTCTGTGCATGCCTTGATGATCTCTAGGATTTTAATCGGATATTAAATAAATCTTGTATGCTTTTAAAATCAGAATTAAACTGCGTAGGTACTGTAAATTCAATCTGTTTCTTCGCATCAATTGTTTAATCATATGTGTTCTAAGTTTCTATTAACGATGCATATTGGAGTTTAGATGCTTTATGAGGAATTTTGGGACATGAATTGAACCTTATGAACTGTATTAGACATCACAAAAGGTTCTGTAACATTGTCTGAGGCGAAGAAGACGAAATAGAGGAGGAAACGGCTCTCAGTGTGAGAGAAAGCCGGCTCCCTAAGTGAGAGAGTGGGCTCTCCATGAGGAAGAGCCGGCTCCATGAGCGGGAGAGTCGGCTACCATGAAAAGGGAGCTGGCTCTCTTGCTGGAACACCCCTACAGGGTATACTTTTGATATTTTTTGATTCCAGGGGCTAAATTGTGAATTCTGAAAATTAACGGGAGGTTTTAAATGTTTTAAATTAACTTGTTAAAACCCTAAAATAGTTAGGATATGCTAATATTACTAGACATCATGGAATTTAATTAATTATTTGCATACTGTCACTGGATGTGGACTATTTATTTACTTCTTGTTGTTCTAGCAAGTAAATTGGTGTGTATAATTATACTTAAGTATAATTGAATATAATATGCTCAGTTAGTTATCTGATTTATATTATATCATTCCCTGGATTTTAGTTGACGTTCTATTGATTACTAATTTGTCAATTATTGGATTGTCTTGTGGATTAATTAAAGTTTAAATCTAATTATTTAAATTATTAATTACATGGATATTATTCTGGATGTTAATTGATTAACCGTTAAATTATGTTCTATCAATTATATGGATGTTATGGATTGTATGCACCGGTAAGGGACAGTGGCATACTAGGGATGGTTTAGCTGAAAACGCTAAGTCCTACCTACTTTGGAATAAGGGAATGGATTATAAAAATTAAATCCTACTTATATTTGAGTCAAATCAACTGAGTAAGTTGAGTGACTAACGGGATTATTTATTAGTTGTATTTAAGTCAGGTCAACTGAATATGTTAAGTGACTAACTGGATTAGTTGTTACTTATGTCAGATCAATGAACAATTAAATGACATACTCTGATTTTGGATGGGTTTTAAATATATATTTATAGTACCACGATATGAGCTTGAGTCTCAGGATCATTGGTTAGGGAGCGTATATGCACTGGGATGCATAGTTTGATATGATGGTAGAGGTGTACCCTGTTAGGTCTAGGTACTCCTGCCCACCTCTGGTGAGTTTTGCATGTAGCCTTCTATTCAGGTTGTGACTCCCTTTGTAGTCCAGTGAGAGTCCCTTAGTGTGGATATACATATGTATGGACGATATAGCTATTGGTGAGATATCTAAGATGTATCTGCATATCGGGTCTTTGTTTAGATTGTAATTAGAATAGAACTTATTCGTGGGCCTGACCCACTATTATGTTTTCATGTATTGGACGAATCTAGTCTTAGAGCTTGTTCGTGCTAAGCAGTCACTCACTTTTCCGACAACGTAGGATTCTCTTCATGATTTAGCTGTAGATTTTATTTAAGTTGTTTACTTTTCTGTTGGGTTTTGGTTAGGGGTCCACTAGGTGGATTCCTGAGTTGTATCAAATATTGGAGCTTTTATTTGTTGGATTTCAATTATTTATTCTTAAGGATTATATTTTAGAATTCTTTCAGCTTTTATTTGTTTATTTATTAATTCATTTTGTATTCCATGTTCATTTAAATATTAATTGTCTGGTATCCCTCGGATCTGTGCTCAGACTTGATCACCCGTGACTCTAGAATCGAGGGGTATCACATATGGCATATGCGATTAAGCCATCCCTATCATCCAGTCCTCCGAAGTTTTGCCTCGACCCATGCCATCACCGTCGACAAGTCCTGCTCAACTAAATCTATTTGTCTGAGTTGTTTAGTTGGAAAATGTCTAAATTTCCTTTTAGTTTTTCAGACTTTAAATTTTCATTCCCTTTAGATATTTTATATACTGATTGATAGGCCCTGCTCCTATTATATTCCATTGACGTCGTTGGATTGCTCAACCTCCTACCACCACTCCCAACCATGACCACCACTACTCATCACCACCACCGTGGAGTATCTGTTCAACCTTGAAGATGATGATGGGAGGCTTGAGTTAGCGGGCGGAGGTTAAGGAATTGGGTGTGACAGGGTAGTGGAGGCGGCGTCGGATATGGGTTGTAGAAGAGGCGATGATGCAAGAGAGAAGGAGGGAAGGATGAGGGTAATTTGACTATTTAGAAGGGTAGTTTAGTCCCATAAAATTAATAGTAAGTTTTAAAAGGGTAATTTCATCATCTGAATAGGTTAATTAACAAGTGAAAGGGTAATACTGTCAATTTATCACATTTGGAGTGTCTTTGTTAACTTTATTAAACCTAAGGGGGTTGTGAGTATAATTAACCCTTGTTATTATTATATCTATAAAATTGAAATTTACATTTAAAATATATATATATATATATATATATATATATATATATATATATATATATATATCTCTCTTTCTACTCCTTAACATTAACTTCACAAACCACTACCGTGAAATATCATATTTTTCTTTTTGGTTGCAATTTTATTTTTTTAATTAATTGGCAAGAGAGAACAGACTAAAGCAAAACATCAAAATGTTTGAAAGCAAATTGAAAATTTTTTTTGAATTAATATTTGGCCGTGAATGTATCTCAATGGAATTAAGACTTAATCAGTAGGCTAAGTAGCAATTGAAACCATTTGGCCGAAAATGTAGCTCAATGGAATCAATAGGTAAGTAACAATTTTTTCTATTACGAAGTAGACACGCAAATTGAATTCTAGGCGTTGAAATCTATTGGAAGTTGTTGAAAATGCCAAGAAAGGGATTTGTGAGAAAGCTCTTGGAAATTTTTATACATTGCCCAAAGAGATAAAACATGGACTCAACAAACTTACTTCTATACATATACAAATAGAAAAAGCGGGACCAGTAAATAGATTCATCTTTTGGTAAAGTATGTGGATTGAGTTATGGAAATATAATTAATTTTAGTAGCATTTCATAGTGCTAATCTAAGAGCATTACTCAGTAATCATTAAGCTTAATTAGCCTTTGTCCAACAAATCCCACGAGTCTGGGAAATAAACAGCGTCCTCATCTTCATGATACTGGGTAGTTAGTTGAGATGGATTAACGCTACCATTAACGTTTGCTATTTTCACTCTCTTCTCTCTACTACAAACCTCGCTCTGACGCCACACTATTACAAAATACAGAGGCACTCAAAAGAAATACGTCTCTTCCAAATATAAGTTCGGAAGAGGTAAACACAAAACTGTAGAGAGAACAGTATAATATTGAAATCAAATCTCATTGTCCTAATAAATTTCTAATTACATGCTTAAATTGAGAAAATATTATTAAAAAAACTGAAAAAAAATTCTGGCTCCTGCTATCACTGATTGTGTTTGAACATTAATCAAGATTTCTGGTTCCTGCTCTCACTGACGAAACATTAATCAAGAATGAATTGTGGAGAGAAGTATAATACTGAAATCAAATCTCATTGTCCTAATAAACTTCTAATTACATGCTTAAATAGAGAAAATATTATTAAAAAAACTAAACCACACTAATACTAAACAACCACTAATAACACAAAATAATTCAGCAAACTAAATAGTTTTTTTTGCTTCGCCTCGTCTTTTCTGTGGTATTTCTATGTTATGCTAAACATTTTCTTTTTGGTTCAAATGAAAAGTTCCATTGTTATATGTTTCTACATTCTCTTCTTTGTGTGTGTACTCTGGTGAGTTTAGCTTCTTGTGTTTCATTCCCAAGACAACAATATATTTTTCTTTGGTATTTTCTATATTATAATGCCGTTTCCCTTGTTATTTGTTTGAAATTTATGAAAAATATATATATATATATATATATATATATATATATATATATATTAAAATGATAAATTTATTGACCCAATGGTGGCCTTGATTTTGTGATTGTGTGCGTTCGGCAACTGCTTGGAATATATGATTGATTGGTCAAGAATGAATTGTTAGAAGACCTATTCACCGCCCTAGACCTAGAGTCCTTGTCTGGACAATAACCATAAAAGACATTTGTTCCCCTAATCTTTTCCAGACTTTGACTCATGACCCAGGAAACATTACCATAAATGGTAAAACATAGACTCAATAACCATATATTGCATACTATAAATAGAAAACCATGAGCTTTACTCTTACTCGACGTCATATCTCTTTTCTGCCCTCTTTATTCTCTTCACACTGTCTGATTTTTTTCAAACTTTCTTCAATCCATACACACATTGAGTTTTCACCGCCTTTATGCGCAACCACTATTCAATGCAATAACAATGGTAACAAGGCAGTCTTTTAAAATATCACAACAGTAGTTCAAGTTGTTCGTAAAAATAAAATCTCTCTAAATTTTTTTGTAAGATAAAAAATTATAAAAAACAATAAATAAATAACGGTTTTCTTTCTTCCTTCACTGGACCACCATATACATGTACCATTTACGTATTCAGTTATTTACTTTCTCATTACGTCGTTTTCTTAACATTTACTCTTTCTTCATTTATGCAATGACACATTTAATGCAGATTCAACTTTTGACTAAACCTAACATACAAAAAAAAAAAACAAAATAAAATTGACTAAACCACACCCGATACACTAAATTTGAGCCACTTCAACAATATTTTGTTAGAGAATACCAGAAAAGCTCTCCCCTAGCAATTCCTATATGGAGATCCCAATTCCTCCCAATTTTCAGTGCCCAATCTCTCTTGAATTGATGAAAGATCCTGTCACCTTATCCACCGGAATCACATATGATCGAGAAAGCATCGAAAAATGGATCGGAACCGGTCACACAACATGTCCGGTCACCAAAAAAGTGTTGAAGACTCCTGATCTAATACCAAACCATGCAGTACGTAAGATAATTCAAGATTGGTGCGTCCAGAACCGGCCATACGACATCGAACCGGTCCCAACGCTTCAAATTCCGATAACGCAGTACGAGGTCTCGGAGGAGTATGTATTATCATCCTCTTTTGAATCATATGCTAGTGTTTCAGTAGAGAAACATGCTTGTTTGTTAATTGAGATCTTGTCAAGATTGACATGGATGTTCCCGCTTGGTGTAGAAGCCCAATCTAAGCTAGCTTCGTCCACTTCTTTACGTTGCATGGCATGGTTTTTGAGAGGGGAAGATGTTTCCGGTAGGCGAGTCACGGTTTTAGCCCTAGCAGAGCTACTTGCATTGGATCAGGGATATGTTAACGCGTTCGCGGAGATGGAATGTGTTGCAGAAGCATTAGTGAAGATAATTAGGGTACCCATTTGCCCTAGAGCTACCAAAGCTTCTCTAATGGCTATTTACCACATGATTTCACCGTCGGCGATGAGTGAAGAGATGACAAGAAGGTTTATGGAGATGGGTTTGGTTTCATTGATATTAGAAATTGTTCTAAATTACGAGAAAGGCATATGTGAGAAAGCTCTTGGTGTTTTAGACCGTATGTGTGATTGTGGTGAAGGGAGAGAATATTTGGCTCGAAACCATGAATCAACTATGCCAGCGTTAGTGGAGAAGATTTTAGGAGTATCGATGACAGCGACGGAGTTTTCAGTTTCGGCTCTTTGGAAGCTTTGCAAGGATGAAAATGGAGGTGTTGTGGTTGATGAGGCAGTTCATGAATTGGGTGTTTTTGAGAAGCTGTTGGTTGTTTTACAGGTGGGTTGTGACGAGAGAACAAAGGAAAGGGCTAATGAGTTATTGAAATTCTTCACTCGCTACAAAGAAAGGTTGGACTTGGATTCATCAATTTTATTCAAGTATCTCAAAAGGCCATACTGATTTTTTTAAATAATTTTTGGATCTAGTTATTTTCCATATGGAATATTGTGAAAATAACCATGTAAATATGTTAAATTCTCACACTTCAGAGTAGAAATAACCTAACAAAAAGTTCTTGGCGCGCACAATTCCTTTAGACTATTGTGAAAGTATAACCTATGCTTTGTTTATTGTATTAGGTTTTTGACCACTCGATCATTCATGTGTTACCCATGCATGTTAATTTGTTATACTTTCTTACTAAACTTTTATATTTCATATTATGTAAATAAGTTAAACTCGCGATTTAATAGAATTATAATGTTGTAACACGATTTAATATGTTATATGAATATTATATCTTTGATTTAAACATATTACATCATTGTTACATGAGTTTTACATTTTGTAATATAATTGTGTTGCATTATAATAGGGAATCATTTTATACTCTTTCGCGTACAAGGCGAATAATACTTGGGTCCAATACCATATTAATCGTTGATGTGGACCAATAATAAATTGACACATTTTATTTTAATTACCAAATCAGAGATGGTGATTTGATTACCAACTCTGATTTGGTAAGTAGGTATCTACCCCACCATATTGAATTTGATAATTAAAGATGACATGTTCATTTATTATTAGTTCACATCAATAGTGAGGATGATGTATATAAGGGGTGGATCAAGGAATTTGTTTCAGGGGGGGCGCCGTATTAAAGATGATAAATTATATTTTTTTTCAAACGAATAGTGATACAAGGCAATAAGTCAAAAAATAGAGCTATAATAATGGTGGAATACTAACATTTAATAATTTGAAAAATAATTATTTAAAAAAAAAATAGAAACATAAAATATCGACCTTAGCAACAAATTTAATTACCAAACTTTGAAAAGAAAAAATAATAATTTGAATAAAGGAATGCAACTTTTTTTTTAAGAGAATATAAAAAAGAAGAAGCAGAAGAAGAAGAAGAAGAGGAGGAGGAGTAAGAATGAAAAGAAAGGAAAAATTAAAATATTTTTAAAAAATAATTATTTTAGAGGGCATTTTTGTAAAATTTTATAAATTATAGGCCTATTTGCAATAAAAATTAATTAGCCCAAGGGTAAATAATTATTTCGGGGGGCATTTTTCACTTTTTTATAAATTATTGGCCTATGTGTAATAAAAATTAATGGCCATTTTCAAGAAAAAATTTAATTGGGGGGGGGGGGGCATTTTGAAAAAATTTATAAATCATAGGCTATTTTGTAATTAAAACTAATGAGCTAGCATGGGCCCCCCATGGGCCTATGCTGGCTCCGTCCCTGATGTAGATCCTCACTAGTGAAAATCTAAGTATTATTCTTTATTTTTTAAAGACTTAATTTTATTTTGCACTATTGTTTATATTTTTTGCCGTTAGTTCGGACTATAATTTATATTTCTCACGTTATTTATTTTTTATTTTTTTAGTTTATGGATTACACGACTCTGTTGCATTCATGCAGGGTCAGTCTTGGGGCAAGGCGACCAAAGCGGTTGCCTAATGTCTCCAATTTGAAAGGGCTTCAAATTTAGGACCATAGTATGACATTCAGACCATAATTTCCATAATTAAAAGACAATATATACTTATATATTATGTAAATTTATGGCAATAAATAAATATAAAAAAAATTAGGGCAATAATTTGTTTTTATCATCTCCCTTTAAAAAAAAAAAAAATTTTATTTTATTTTTAAACTCAGAAACATGTTTATTCTATTATTATATTATTTTTGGATTCATGTGCATGAGGCTCCAATAAGCTCAGTCCAGACAATCAAATATTTAACTGCTCAGTGTAATTAACTCACATTTTTTAAAATAATTTTGTAAGTTATACTAAAATATGACGTGATTTCTGATATTAAAAGAACATAATTATTTTAAGAAGTACAAGTCTTAAAGACAAACTTTACCAAGAGTAACAAAAATGGTAATTGATTTAAAAAAAAAAAAAATTCCTCACTCTTATTAAATTTTTTTGCTCTTATAAAATTTTATAAAAAGTATCACATTTGAAACTTCGTTTAAAACCTCTTAAATTTTGAGGATATCAGGCTTTTATTATAAATGGCCCCATCAGCGCACTATCATTTTTTTTCTACCGTCTAAAATTTGCATCTAACAGTTTTATTCTCTATCTGGTGATCATGGAAGCACATAAATTAGTGGGACCTGCTATCGCATTCAGCGTGTTGTGAAGCTAAAGACCCCCTTATATTTATGTGGTGTTGCAGAATTTTCAACACGATTTCTATTTTTAACAATTTATATTTATTTGTTTTAGTAAGATTTAATACTATGTTAAAAAGAACACGTAATGATAGCCCGTGTCTTGTGTTGGGATTTTCAACACGGTTTCTATTTTTAACAATTTGCGTCCATTTTTAGAGTGGTGTTTTAATGATTTTTAACATGGTTATATCTATTTTTAACATTTTATATTTACTTTTCTTTTTTTTTTTTTAAAACAGATGTAATGTTTTAAAAATCACAATCGTTAAATTCTCTAATTTATTTGGTATAACTGTTATATATATATATATATATATATTAATTTTCAAATATGATACCAATCATACCATCTTCAAAATACTTACCAATGATGATCATGTTATTTGGAGAAAAGTTGATGAAACTTATGTATACGTAGATATCATTTAATTATATGGACACATTTTGAAAATTTTGGATACAGATGATATGCAAAGTATGATGTATGTACACAGAAAATCGTTACTGTATTGATTCGATCGTGTATGCCTTCTAAACTTTTTTTTTTTTTTTTATAATCAAAATAAAATAAAAGATGTGAAGGCCAACAGTGAAACATACCCAAATTAGAGACAAGCAGTCTAATCACGAGATCACGTTGTATAATTAATTTTCCAATACATTTATATATAGTATTTGTTTTAGAATATAAGATAGTACTTGTTTTAAAATATTAAAACATTCAACCACTCATGATATCCCCTAATTTCGAAACACGGTTTGATCAAATTCGCGCATAAAATCAGGAGTTATCAAAACAATTAAAACATTTCAAACAAGCACAGAGTACTGTAAACACTAAAATTTAGTGGGCTTTGGTTTTAACAAATGAACCCATTAAATATGGGCCTAATGTGTAATTAAATTATTTAATTGGTCTAGACTTGGTCCACTTAAATTATTTAATTAACCCAGACCAGATGATTAAATGAAAAAATAATTATTCCTAGTAAAATATATTTAGATTAATTATTTTTAAGGATAATTATCATAATATAACCAGCCCCGCCTAATTATGATTTTTTCCTTATCAGGAGATGACACATGTCATCATCCTATTAATCCAAGAAACCTATAAATAGAGGCCTGGAGGAAGAAGACAGGGGACAAAAATTTAGAGTCCAGAAATCTAGAAGGTCCAAAAATTGAGAGAATCAGAAATCCAGAGGGCCAGAAATCCCGAGAGCAAACCTGAAGGCGAAGAATACCAAGCACATCCAAAGTCGTGCCGTTCTTCACCAAATTCAACAAAATCTCTCCTTTCTGAAGACGAAGAATAACAAGCACATCCAAAGACGTGCCGTTCTTCCTCAAATTCAACAAATGACACAAATTCAGAGTTCAGAAATCCAGAGATTCCAAAATTCAGAAGTCCAAAAGTCCAGAGACTCAGAAATCTAAAGACTCAGAAGTTAGAGACACAAATTCATAATCTAAACCCAAAAGTGAAGAACATCAAGCACATCCAACGAGGTGCCGTTCTTCATCAAATCCCACAGTGATCAACAATAAGCACATCCAACGACGTGTCGTTCTTCATTAAATTCCACAATGATTCAAGAACAAGCTCGTGCAGCCCTTAGATCCAACCAACAACAAAAAAGGAGATCGAATCAGAGGACCATTCTTTTTGTAAAAGATATTACAAAGGATTGTACTCCAAATATTTATAAATTAATAAATTATTATTTTGTCCATATTTTGTCTTTATTTGTAGAGAACAAAATTTGTGTGTACAAATTTCTAGCACGCCCGGTGGGACCTTTTTTGCCTCTCATCTCTTTCTCCTACCCTCAAGTTTCATCTCTGTTAGATTCTATGGCTCATTCTAAGACTCCGACAGACAAGAATGCCCAAAAGAACATCGCTACTGCAAAGGTTGACGCCAAAGCCACCATGAAAAGTGGAACGAAGGCCAAATCAAGTGATGAAGATACCTTGGCGGGCCTGTGACACATAGCAAGTCCCAGGAGATGGCTTCATCCAAACATCAGTAATACTTGGTGAAAACCAATCCTGCAAAGCCGGCGAACGTGAAAACTCAACATGTCAAGAATCCTGACGTTGTTCCAGAAGAGATTCCGCCACCAGATTTACCTCATTCCGTTTATGATGCTCACTCTAGTCTCGGTTCACCCCCAGAGTCACCACGTAAGACTTCCGAGCAATCAATCACTTCAAAGAACGTTAACTCTCAAGGCCTATCATACTCAGATGTGGTCGCTACTATAATGATTGGAGCTGCCACGATGGAGGAACAACTAGCAACTATGTCTCATGCCATTGAGAACCTCACAAAGACTGTTGAAGAGAAGGACTTATAAATCGCTACGCTGATGAACAAATTGAAAGTTCAGACCTTTGGTGAAACACCAGTACAATCTGGGCATCCTACATCTTCCATAGCACCGCCAACTGGGAATCGTGCAACTTTCACACCATCACCGTTTGGAAATCCTACATCTTCCACATTAATGCAGACGGAGAATCCTAATTCTACCGCACAAGGTACTCGTATGGAGGACCCCAAACAGACGCCAATGACAGAATAGGCGGCTAGTCAAAACTAGACGTCGGTGACAAAACAAGCGGCTAGTCAAAACCAGACCCCGGTGACAAAACAGGCAGCTAGTCAAACAAATCATGCTTCTTCAGTCTCTTCATTAACTGTCGCACAATTGCAAGATATGATAGCGAATAAAATTCAAGCCCAATATGGAGGCGTCTCATAGAGCACTCTCATGTACTCAAAGCCCTATACAAGGAGAATTGACAGTATGAGG